TCAACCTCCCGGGAAATTATTTATTAACCTCCCGGGAAATCAGAGGTAAGTTAGTTATTTATGAACCTACAACCAAGCAATCTGATTGGTCAATTACAACTAGGCATGGTAGAAGTAAAGGTTATACAACGAGGTGGAGGTATCTATGGCATTTATCATACCGAGGGCCGTAGGCCCGAGGTATGATAAGGCCATAGATACCGACACAGAGTTGTATAACCAACTTCTACCATGTACTAAAATAAACAAATAGTTTACTTAGCAACAGCAATGCATTCCCATGGTAGCTTTTGCGCGTAGCAACAGCGCACTATAACAGTTTGAAAAATAACATTATCTTCCCAACAATGGCTGTCTCTGTCTCTGACATCTCAAGTGAAATAGACAGGCAAATAGAGGAGTTTCTTTCACAAATTACGGAGGAGCAATACCAAGACTTCTTAAATAACTCCACCCAGTTGCTTCCTAAGCTCGATGGCAGCATAGACGGCGGCTCTAAATCTCTCGATGGTTCAAGCATAGATACTACATACTGTGTATGTAGTATCTATGGTTCAAGCAGCACCACGACCACTGCCGCATCATCATCCAAGATCTCAGCTAGCTCTAGGTTTGCTGCCCCAAAGGACGATGAAGCTGTTCTGGCAGCTCAAAAGAGTGCAATACCAGAAACAACTAAAAAAGCACTGACTGGGCTTGCAGAATTTGAGAACAGTGGAGCCTCAGCAGGAAACAATCTGATTGTTCATACCCACCACCACCTCACCTATGCAGTGATAAGAGTACCCTTGATAGCTGGTTGAGTAAGTTTCTTTTGGAGATTCGTAGGCAAGATGGTAAAGAATACCCACCCAACACTCTGTACTGTATTGCCTGTGGTATTTTAAGAAAAGTTAGAAAAAAAAGTTAGTTTAAGAAAGTCATCGCAGTATTGATGGCATTAGAGCCTACAAAAGAATATCTCAAGATCAAGAAAAAGAAGTTTCATCAGTATTAAACAAAGAATATGAAGGAAAGGTTGCACTAATTGAAGATAAGGAAAACAGTTACGAGCCACCACCAAGCAAAAAAAGATCAACTGCAGATACTGTTACATTTGCCCTCTCTAACTGCTCAAATATTACTATAAACTATTAAAACAATACCAAATAACACAAAACTATAATTTAAAATACACATGTAATCAATTAATCGTATTATTTAATTTACCGGGAAATTATTTATTCAACCTCCCGGGAATTTACTTATTCAACCTCCCGGGCTACTTATTCAACCTCCCGGGCTACTTATTCAACCTCCCGGGAAATTATTTATTAACCTCCCGGGAAATCAGAGGTAAGTTAGTTATTTATGAACCTACAACCAAGCAATCTGATTGGTCAATTACAACTAGGCATGGTAGAAGTAAAGGTTATACAACGAGGTGGAGGTATCTATGGCATTTATCATACCGAGGGCCGTAGGCCCGAGGTATGATAAGGCCATAGATACCGACACAGAGTTGTATAACCAACTTCTACCATGTACTAAAATAAACAAATAGTTTACTTAGCAACAGCAATGCATTCCCATGGTAGCTTTTGCGCGTAGCAACAGCGCACTATAACAGTTTGAAAAATAACATTATCTTCCCAACAATGGCTGTCTCTGTCTCTGACATCTCAAGTGAAATAGACAGGCAAATAGAGGAGTTTCTTTCACAAATTACGGAGGAGCAATACCAAGACTTCTTAAATAACTCCACCCAGTTGCTTCCTAAGCTCGATGGCAGCATAGACGGCGGCTCTAAATCTCTCGATGGTTCAAGCATAGATACTACATACTGTGTATGTAGTATCTATGGTTCAAGCAGCACCACGACCACTGCCGCATCATCAT